GTGTGTGTGTGTGTATGTAATACACATGGATGAAGGTTAAAACATTAATTAGAATTTATTAATTATTAAAATTTGGAAAAGAGAAGAAAAAAATTCTGGAAATTCAAGAACATACATAGATGAAAATATTATACAAAATTGCAGGTTTAAAAAAATTTGGATTCAAAAATTTAAAAAATCTTATGTATTGTGGATTTTTTTAAAGTGCATATGTGGCATATTGCTTACAAGATGTATTTTTTCAAAATGAATCAATCTGATCTTTTTTATTCCAACAAAAGGTAAAAAAGTTTAGACCAAGTTCACAAGGGTTGAAAATGTATTGGCCAATTATACAAGAATGGCCATAAAACATTACAATTCGTTCCTGTATTATAAAGATTGTTGTATTTACTCATCTTGTTATATTTACAGACGGTGATGATTCGGCAGCAGATTGCAGGAACACCAGTGGTGCAAAAGGTAACTGCCCAGCCTGGAACGGTGGTGGTTAGCGGTGGCCAGGTTTTTGCCCCTGGCCCATTGGTGGTCAGTGGAAACCAGGTTGTGGGTGCTCCAACCCAGGTTACTTCACTAACACTATTTTGTTGTATTGAATGTGCCATTTCACCTTTAGTTTTGCATTTCTGCTTTCCAGTTGTAACAATCCTTGCTTATATTAGGTTTCGTATACAAAAATTACACATTTTTATTTCTATTGAAATGCTTATTAATACTGTTCATGGCATGTGCTTCAGATATGATTTAATTCACTTTGAATACTAATTCTTTCAGTTTTGTGATATGTCTTCAGAAGTTACTTTTGTTATTCATCAGTGGTTTTTGTTTTTGCATATTTCCTGAATGCAGGTAGTTTCCCCAACTTCTCTTGCATAAATTTGAATAGTGTTCTTGAATAAAAATAACTAAGAACACCATATTTGGATGCATGCAAATTGATGGGGGTATGCGAGTTTTTTTACTTAGCCAAAAATATATCTATGAACTTGAGACATTTTTTATCACTTCAGATATATATTCACGCCTTGGGGGTGAGGGTTATCATAATCGTAAGTCATATTAACGGTCTTCATGAAATGAAGATACTCTTACTGCAAACCAAAGTAATTTTGACGACATCAGAAAGAACTTCATCTAGCAACACAATATATTGTCATTGCATGTACAAAAACGGCTATGTGAAGTGAATTCAGATCTCAAAGATCTTGTACAAAATTTAAAGTAACCTAAAAAACAGTCTGAAATGCTTGATTCCCAGCTAAAAGACTTTAATCTTCTTCAAAAAAATACAAAGATACGTTCTTATCATAGTCATTTTGAATTTAAAGACTAATGAGACTTAAAATGAACATTCCCAAAAGAATGTGTGCTCCATTACATATAAAATCAGAATTAATGAAGAATTTTGTCAAAGCTCTGGACAATACTCCTGGTTTTATGTACAGAAGTTCCCTAAAATTAGACATGCAAAAACTAAAGAAGAAATATTTCATTAATGCATGAATGAAACAATTGAAGAAATATTGTATCCAATGTAGAAAGCAGCTTGGCATGCATTCAAAAATGTTGCGCTTTTTTGGGAAATCAAAAAGCGGAAAATTACCAAGATATTGTCAACTCTCTCACAGCATCTTCTTAAAATTTAGGTTATAATGTGTACTTAGAAGAACAGTTCCTACCCTTGAACCTAGATTCTTCCCTGAAAATCTTGTGTGAATGTCTTGTATATTAGAATACTAATATCAGGGCTGCAAATTTTGATTACTCACTATTTAGTACAATATGCTAATTCAGGAAGAGTACAGCTATTGTTGTAAAGGCAGTATTGAACTGTTTGTCATAGAATTAACATGTTCTGATACTTACGCATGATGATACATATCTGGCATGTTTTGTTCTCTCTCATTCCTTTTTATAGAGAGTTGCTCATGTATGAAATATTCTCCTGAAATATCTTCTGAATCATTGCAGATATTAAAATGTGGTTTTCACTAAAAAGATTCAAGCATGCTGGTAAGAAGCTTTGTAAATTTATGAACTTTAATTTTTTTTTAATTGCACCCTATCGATTGTGCCCATGATAACAAACATTAAGTGAAGATGAATTCATAAATATTGCTAATACCCTTTAGTACAAAACAATATTTTTGAGAAATGTAGGTTTTCAGCACATATTAAATGTAATATTCCACCACCATTGTGAAGAACCTGAGGTGTCATAGATAGCAAACCCGTGTCATTCTACTGCATTTGGGTGTCCAATTGCAATTGCTATGGGATGTTGGGTTGTTATTGGAGCATTTTTGGGAGGCAGGGAAAGTAGGTTCAAGAAACATGTGGTCATCCTATAATAAAATTAAATCAGGGGAGGGGGGAGGAAATTACATCTATATTTGTTTTTTAGTGCACATTCAAGATGTGGCAACAGTTGGAGGCAGTGTTAACAGCCCTTTTTTTACTATTGACCACAAAATAATAGAAAATTCAACTTTATTACATTTTATTGTTATTTCTAAAGCAGTTTTAGGCAATTGAGCTCCATTGCCATTTTATTTTCTTCCATCTTTACTCTTCTCATTTTTGTCTCCATGTTTCCTATTCATTTGCAGGCCATGTCTCCCAATACATCTGCCAGTAATTCAGAGCATCCCCCACAAAGTTCTGCACTTGTTGTTTCACGCTAATTTTAATGAGCTAAAGAAGGGGTTCCATTTAAGAAAAGCAAGATTGTATCAATATCTTTGCAATAAGGACAATACAGCTTCTTATATGTTCTTCATATATATTTGTGCAAGTGAAAAACTCATATCTCTATCTGCAACTGATCAGTAGATATTTGGGAGGAACATCATAGATTGGGCTTCTGGTATATGTAGCTCTTTTTTCCCTACATGTATTAAGTGGTATTTATTTGCTTCTGCACGAATTTCATAAGGAATGTTGTGTGTTTGATATGAATTCGATGTGGTTAATCTTATCAAATATGAAATGTACATTTGGGATAATTAAGATATTTCTCAGGCTGAGGCATTTATGAATATTTAATTTATTTGAACTTTCTTTCTTAATAATTGTGGTTAAAAAAAAGTCCTCAAGGTTTAATAAAATGTAGGATTTGTTTTTTTCTTAAGAATTCATATGCATGTGTATGTGTAAAATTGTTTAACTTCCCTGAACCTCTAATTTCAGTTATAAAATTGTATTTAAACTCCAATGGTAGAGCTGTTAATGTAAAGTTGTAAAATTGTGCACTTTTATTTTTTCTGTATGTCTGTTTTTTAAGCATAGAAAACTTTAATTAGAAAGGGTTTCTTGCTTTCCTCCATAAATTTGAATATGGATTTATTTTCTCGGAAATTTTCCCATCACATTTGGAGAATGCATCCATGAAAGTAATTAAATAAATCCTGAACACTGATTAAATAAATATTGTATGCAAAATAATGGCACAATGGAGTAGTGAAATATTGAAAAAGATCTCACGCCAACACTTTATTCCTATTGCATTCTCTTTTTATAGGTGATGACTGCGAGTGGTCAACTTTTAAGTGCAGGCCAAATTGTTGTAAGCAATCCTCAACTAGCTCAGCAATTGGCATCAGGAAAAGCTCAGCTTGCGACAATTGGGGGTCAGCAAGTTCTTATACGGGCCGCTCCAGCTGGTACTACTGGTACTGCTGTTCTTCAGGGAGCTAGTACAGTCATGGTCTCAGGAACTGCTGTTCCAGCCTTAACCACTACTGCAGCCACTGGAACTGTTCAAGTGCCAGTTGCTCCTGCAGGAGCACAAACTACTAATTTGTTGGTGAAGACAGTTCAAGGGGCTGGAACTGTCCAGGCGGGAACAATTGTTACAGCAGGACAACAAACAATTCAAGTTGCTGCCGCCCCAGTAAGTAGTTCATTGAGACATGAAAGTGTTTTGCATTGCATTTGTCTCAAATTCATGTCATGTCAAGAGATGTCAAGAGAATTTTCCAACAACAATGAATGCCTAGGGGATTGAATCTTTGGTTATTCAGAGATGAGTTTGGGAGAGAGCTGTTAGTAGCAAAGGAAACAAAAACTAAAAATATAATTCATTATGCTGGAAAAGTTCATAATAAAAGAGTTTTAAATTAAGAGAAGAAGAAGAACAACAACAACAACAACAACAACAACAACAACAACAACAACAACAACAACAACACAAAAAAAAGAACATTTTGATTAATAAAGACCATATTTAACATGTTAATGAACAGTATTTGCTCACTTCTTTTGTTATCACAATAGGTGGGACAAGCTTTTGTGTTGTTGTTCATTAATTTTATTTTAAAATAAAATATTTTTTAATTTAGAGTTGTGTTATATTGTCTTAATCAGAATTATTAATTAAAACAATTATTGAATACACATGTATCATTAGTTTTGTGGGAGCTAATTTTTGGGATCATAACCTACAGATGTCAGAGATTTTGAAAATCTGAAAGCAGAATGAGAACACTGTGCATTCATATTGTTTTCCAAGTTCGAAAGAATTTGTTCCCATGAAATGATATCAAAATTACTGCTTACTATAATTCATTTACTCTCTACAAAATATATTAGAGGGATCACTAAGTGGAAGTTCTTGTTTTTTATATTAATGTATCTGCAATAAAAATTTCAATAATTACTTGGAATAATATTAACAAGTGTATTTCTCTTCAGGCCAGTGAAAGCATTTTATGTTCAATTATTTATTGAAGTTAAATAACTATCGTTCAGGTAGTCTTTTGCTGGAAATGTTTGGTTAAATTAGTTATTTTTATTACTCCAGTAGAAAATAGGGTTTTCAACCTTGACACACAAGTTATTGTTAGATTTCTTAAATCTATTTGGCATGATTATTCTTGGAAATGCAATCTTTTTAACATTGAAATATTTTTAAAATGTTGATATTTGTGCATTATTACATAGTTGACCCTAATACAATTTTTCTTCTACTTCAGGTTGCTACACAACAAGTTCTTGTATCAAATGAACCAAATTCAGCTCAGACAACAGCATCTCCTACAGTTTCTCCTAGTAAAGTAGTTCAACCTGAAGAAGCTACAACAGCTATTAACACTGGTGGCCTTGCCAGTTCAACACAGCCTCCAACTCAAGAGATGGGGTCTTCTACTTCCAGTCAATTGGAGGCTGTCCAGTCACAACCATCACAATCTATTCAGCAACCTTCCCTTGGGTCACAGCAACTACACCAACCATCCCAGCAGCAGCAACAGCAACCAGTACAGCAACCAAACCAACAACCACAGAATCAACAACAGCAGCAGCAGCAGCAGCTACTGCAACAAACGATTGCTGGTGGAGATCAGGCAGCCATTGAACAAGCTCTTTTGGTTGGCCAACCACCAGGTAAAATTTACAACACAATAATTTGTTCATATGATGATAATGTCTTTGATAACTGGAATAGATTAAGGGCAAGTGCTCATATGAAGGTGGCAAATTTAATTTGTATTTCTGCCCTTCAGTTTATCATTGCGTTACAAATGAGTGTTGGTGAAATTGGTTAATTGCAATTCTTATTTATTTCTTCAAAACCTAAACATGTATTGGCCAATATTCTTTGTTAAATTGAATTATTTGCCATAAAGATAACCTCTTACTATGGGCATAGTTTATTCACGATACATGTTCAGAATTTATTTAAAAGATACATTGAAATGATTCTCCTCTACTATTTCACATTTTGCATATTTCACATGTATTTGTTACATATACATTGAAATTATATTTTTTTTGAACAGGTACTGTTATAAAGTGTGTGACAGCACAGGTCATCCAAACCCAGCAAGGGCCTCGTATTGTATTGCAAGGGCTTCAAGGTGCTGAATTCACTCCACAGCAATTGGCAATGGTACAACAGCAAGTGAAACAACAACTATTGAAAGGTTATAAAACTATATTTATAGTAGGTTTCAGTTTAACTTCAAACTTTTCCGACTTTCGAAGATATGGTCTGGATTATCTGAAAATGTGCAACATTTTGCACTGCACTGGTTCCTTCACATTTGATTTCTATTATAATATTTCAGCGCAAGCCCAAACTGGTAAACAAGGAGTTCTGGGGCCTACCAAGATCTACCTTGCTGTACAACCACCACCACAACAGCAGCAACAACTTCTGCAGCAACAGCAGCAGTTGCAACCTCAACAGCAGCCACAGCAACAATCAATCCAGTCCCCAACTCCACCTGCAACTACTGTGAATTCAGCTGTGCCAGGCGCAGTCCAGTCATCACTCATTCCTGACTCACCAAAGAAGCCTCAGCCCAAGGTAGTGGTGCAACAGGTTGGCCAGGCTGAGACTCCACAGGTGAGCTCTCTGCTGGCCACGCATGCATTTTTTTATAATTTCTGTATTTAATTATATGGCTGATACTAATCTCTCGGTGTTCTGTGATTTTAGCTTTCGCTTGGATCAGTTGTTGCAAGTGGTAATAATGCTCAACAAAATGCACAGCTTGCAAGTGAACAAGCAAGAGCTGCCCAAGAAGCTGCAGCAGGGCTGCTGGCTGTAAGCAAGCAAGGAGGACCCAACAAATTCGTTCTAACTCCAGATTACATCCAACAAAGTAAGATGTATAAATATTAAGAGATTGGTCTGGAGAAAAGGATTTTGCTCATTCCAAAATGTACTGAATGAGTGTTCTGTTAATTGAGTTTCTTTCTAGAGACATTTCTCACAGGATCTCATGATGACAATAAGGGAAATTTCAAATTATTGATATAATGAGAAAACTCTTAATATTCTTTAAAATTGTAATACTTAATACTCTCTAAAATCTTGCTTCATGAAACAAGCTTAATACTGTTCATAAGTTTCAATTCCAAAATTTCACAAATTTGAGTTTGGCAGGTTTGCACCTTTCAAATTCCTGTGCACATGACTTCTATCCCTCTCCTGTCTCCTTCTTTCTCCCCCCCCCTCTCCCTTCCGTCACCTCTCTCTCTCTCTTTCTCTCTCTCTCTCTCTCCCTCCCTCTCTCTCTTTCTCTCTCTCTCTCTCTCCCTCCCTCCCTCTCTCTCTCTCTCTCTTTCTCCCTTCCCTGTCTTCTCCCTTGTTCCCCCCTATCTCTCACTCCTCTTTCCCACACCTCTCAACCTCCCCCCAAACACTCTCTACCTCTCTCCCCCTTCCAGTTTTAGTAGTAAAACGTATAAATCTTGGGCTTTACTTATGATAGAAAAGTAATCAAAATTGAGATGGTTTCCTATTCACATTGTTAGAGAAATATCAGCAATATCGCATTGTTAGAGTAAATATGATGTCCCGCGAGGTTTATTAGTTCTCCTTGTGTGTACAAAAGAAAGAAAGATTAGATGTAGTTTCGTCACAATTATTATATATTCTATTCATGAAAGCTTCATAAATTCCACCCAACTTTGAAAAATGGGTGATACATCAATGGAAGAAGTGCAGTAAATCCCAGTTTTTACTTTCCTGTATTTTAAATTTTCCTGCCTTTTAGGTTACTTTTCATTGGTTCGGTCGTGATTCCTATGTTTACGATGCTGTCTCTTCCTACAATTTACAACTTGATATGAAGAGTGGTTCCAATCTTTAACTTTTAATTTTTCGTATACATGTGTATTTTTTGGAGAAAACATACATAGTGCAGAGGAAGTTATATACTGCTACGGCAAAAAAACTGAATTTTTGGCAGAAAAACCTGTGCTTATGCATTAAAAGTTGATAAATTCTGACCCAATATTTAGTATGTGTCACATATGTATATAGCACAGCTATGCATTCATTCAGATCAAACTGGGATTAACAATTTTGAAGAAAATCAGAGAGTATAGATCATTTTTGGTGCATTGACAGGCAAACATACGTTTTGCCATCAATCAATTTTTTTATTTCAAGGACCCACGATACACTGATTCTGGCTACACCGTGTGTGTTAGAAGTTGTAATTTACTATATACAGGATTATGATTAATCCACTTTTTCAGAGCCTATCAAGATGTTTTTCTGTCAAAAATTAGGAATTTTCCAGCACATGAGTAAAATACTTTCTTTTCCTACAAAGTAAGGGGAAGGAAGTTAAAATAGTGCCACCATTGTTGTAAATAATGTAAAAACTTTCCTAGACATTTTTTTTTACTCTCCTGCATTTTACACTTTTTTCTGTCAGTCCCCTGAAAAATGTAAAAAGCGGGTTCTATAGTAATTTATATACATGCCTGTAGGTTCATGTGTGTATGCGCATGTTGGGAATATCTGAATAGGAATATAACATTTTCAGCTGCTATGTTTCATTGGTAAGTCCAATGCCAAATAATGTTAATACTTATTGAACAAAGCTATGCAAGACATTAGACCGTATTATTTTCCAGACCATTTTCAGTTAACTTTCAGTTCACCAATCTCATCCATCTTGAGAATTGCAGAATAGTGCATAAACGTGATCTACAACTGAATACCCAAAGCAACCCTCCGTGTCTAACATTGTAGGGTTTAACATGATAAGCAAAAACATTTCTTAATGCGTAGCTATTTATCTATTCAATGAATCATTTAAACATAAAAATGTAATCGTTATTCTCACAACATGACTCCAAGGAAGGTATAATTAATAATTTTGAAATTGTTGTATAATCATGACTATCTAGGATGTTCAAGTTTTGCCTCATTAGGAGGCACCTCAAAAGGAGAAAAATATGTATTGAACATCTTTCAAGTTTTTTTTTATTTAATAGCTTGTACTCAGATCCTGCACCAAATAACAGTACACTAACTTTGATATATCTATAGAATGATAATATTAAAGTCATATTTAGATTATTTAATGCACTATTAATATTGTGATCTACATGCATATTTGCAAAACAATATTTGACAATATTATAATTCCCATATCAATTAATTGAAGAGCTCTTTCCAATTTAATATCAATACAGTAGATACAAGTAACCTTATGGCATTCGCAAATATAACATAGTTTACATGTAGTAATATTTAGATTAATGTAATTTGGCACTAAAGTACCAAACCATTAAGAATAACCAGGGATTCAAATAGCCTTGTGGCACTTCTGTTGATAATGATACTATATGGGAGTTGTAAATTTTGTTTTGGCTATTTGATACCAATCTGTCAAGACAAATTAAGAGGAACTAGGGAAAAATAGATTAATATTTAACAAATTTCTAAATAAAAAAAAAATAATAATATTTACGTCATAAAAGGCTTCTGAAAAACATGATTATTAACAGAAAGAACTGGCAACACAGTGTTGTTGTGTTATATTTCTGCATTTACACAAATATAATAAAAATTGTTTTTTCTTTTCCTCCCTAAATATCTTTTTGAATATGCTTACGTTAGCAGTTTGCACATAATTGGTTGGGTTGGGTTTTTATATTATCTTGCAATGTCAAGATCACTGACAAAACAATATACAGCAAAGATATAGAAAACTAGGCATATCTGTAATGCTTTATTATTATATTCACTGATGTATTCTTTGCAGCCATCACAGATTTACTGGGTGATTTAGACCAATATTTTCAAACAAACTGGCAAAAATAGAATATTAAGTGAATGTCATTATAAGGCATCTTTAGTATGAATGAAATATGTTTGCTAAGAGTTTGTAACGCCATGAACTGATGAAGCTATGTGGGTTCTTGGTTTCACACAGTGAGTTTGGATGTACCTTTTGCAAGATATTGATATGAAAAAAATAACTTTGATGAAAGTGTTGATTCTACATCCAATTACAAATATGGAATGATTTAAAGAACATTTTTATGATGAAAATATTGGAAACAGCTCCTTAAACATGTGAAAGTAACAAGTTACAAATTATATATACGTGTTTGAAGGACTCAACTCAAGTTCGCAAACATTAAATTATATGAATTTCAAGTTAATGGTTAAAGAAGAGGAGGATACAAGTAAGAGCACAACAGGAAGAAATGACCAGAAAAAAAATGAATATTAACAGATGAAGATGGCAGTTGCACAAACAATGATGATTTGATGATTATAAGGAGCAAAAAACGTTGTGACACCTGAGGGGAAACAGTGTCAACAAGACTTGTCAGTGAGAGTAATCTTGTCAGTGAGACAGTTTGTGATTTTTATTTTGACTGAGTAACAAGGATCAACTAATGAAGAAATTGTTAGAAGACCTCTTCAAAATGAGGATGTCATGTTGTATTCAGAATTTCCATACAATCAGGTGAATATAGTTTTTTCAAATTGAGCTTTCAAAAATGTTTGTGGTCGTTATTATCTAAGTCACTTTGAATATATGTTGAGTCTTATTGAAGGAATACAAGATTAAAGGCACTACAGGTCGTAAAGATTAGAGGAGCTGTTTTTAGGGTCCCTGTTAAATTTTTAGGGTTCTTGCCTATATCTTATAATTAATAACAAGATGTAATTTGACGAACTGGTATTCCAGAAAAGATGATCTGTGACTTGACAGTGTTTGTGGTTTGCAACGGGTTAAATAGAAGAGAAGAAAATTATTACCTGACATCATAGGTTTTGAAAAGGTTTCAATCAAGACCTTTAAGAGAAACTACTTTTATCTTGTCTGTTTACAATGAAATCTCTTTCATACTTTTAATTTCAACTGTCCAAAATTGTCCATGGATAATAGAACTATTATAGTCACATCGAATCACCTACAATGCGTCAAAGTTTAATATTTAATATCTGTTTAATATTTGTTAATCTTCCTAGTGTTTGTAAAATTATTGGCATAGACAATCATTCATGCTTGAATGCAGCAGTGAATACATTTCTTCAATTTGGAATGTGGAATAGTTTCTAATAATGTATGCAGATTCCAATCAAAATCCCCACACAAAACATTGCTTGGGAGTGATCCAATTGATAGTCAAAGAGTGGTGGAAGCCTACTGGAAAGAAATTAATAGAAGTCAATGAACTGACAGTGAAACTGTGACAGAATTCAAGCCAGCCTGCAATGAAGATGATTTAAAAACAGAAGCTATTAATTTCTTATGGTACTTTCATTACTGCTTTCTAAGAAATTATTGAAGAAGAATTTTTGTTGTTGTTAAAATGTCCATACAGTTCTGATTAACATATACATATAACTATTCAAATGTGCAATATATATATATTTATATATATATTGCACATTTGAATAGTTATATGTATATGTTAATCAGAATATATATATATATATATATATTATATATATATATATTATATATATATATATATATATATATATATATATATTTTTTTTTTTTTTTTGGTTTTTTTTTTGCTTACCCACTAGGTCAGGAACGCCATTCCTAAAGCCAAGACTTTTGATAACAATGTGTTAATATTCTTTATCACAATACATTGTTACTTTTATTTTTGATTTGGAACAACAGGGAAAACAGATGTTACATAGGGGCAACACTACTGTCGACCACCTCTAAATTATTTACAAACATATAATGGAATAGAATGAATAAAATGAAAACTTCATAGGTTGAGAAGAATGTTGCTGCAAAAAGGGCAGAAGGAAAAAGGATGACATCTTAGTACAAACTGTATAAGACGAGAGAAATTAAACTTCCAGCATTTTGAGAAAGCTTCTTATGAAGTGAACAGAACTAAAATTTGGGCATCATAGAGGAAGAAGAAAGAATGCGAGGAAAAATTATAAAATGATTTATAAGCACTCTAAATGGACTCTAAATTCACTGTAAAAATGAACAACAAAACCACGCCCATGAAAAAGAAGACCAAATAAGGGATGTTCGTTGTAAAGAACAGTACAAACAAAAATCTTGTAAGCTAAGTTCCCTTGGACGAATGGAAGAAGTCTCGATTACTTGTTACGTATCCAACCGCTTGAATTGTTCATCCAAGCTGGATTTGAGAACTTTTCTTGTGTCATTTTTCTTTGCTTTTCGGTATTTTTAAGACATTTTAAGAGCACTTTATAGATCATTTTTGGAGAAGTTTTAGTTCATCAAAATCCGTCCTCCAGTCATTAGTGATAAATTAGTTTAATCTTTTCTCGCATATACTGGGTCATTTAAAGTTACTGTTACTGTACTACATAATATATGTCTCTAGCCTGGACTAAAAGTTACTTGTTTGTTAATATCTAAATGAAAATGATCATGTTTACATTACATTTTTTCTTTAATTTCTATGGATGTGTATTAAAAGTTTTCCAACTATTGTTAGCATGATGAACTTGTAATTAGTCTTCATATTATAGCAAATATTTAATTCTGAAGTTATGTTTAAATGGCAAATCTTGTGCAAATTTGTGTATTAATAACAAAATTATTAAATTTAATTTTTGATTTGATGTGTAATGCATGTTTCTTTGTTAATGATACATTTTTAGTAAATAACTGCATGACATTTATTGATTGAAAATGTGGAACATGAAACTTCCTTGTGGTCACTGAAAAGTTGAAACTGAAACAATACTTACAGCTCACTCTGTCCCGTCTGCAGCCATCAAGAATGCTCTTAAGCAGGAGAACCTGAATCCAGAAATAGAGGAAAAGTTGTTGCAACTACAACGATACCAGGAGCGACAAATGAAGGAGAAAGAAACCTCTCCAACCAGCTCAGCTCCTACAAGTTCAAGTGCCATAGTTTCTCCTCCCACACCCACTCCTATTGTCACTGCAGGTGGAATTGCTGTCAAACAACAAGCCAAAAAGCGGCCTCCCTCTGCACCTGCTTCCACTCATGTTAAAGAGGATTGGGAATCCACTCCTAAGCGAAAAGTATCAAAATTGGAAGCAAAAGATAACAAGTAAGTTCATATTCAGGAATTGTCGGAATTTGTTCTCATATATGTACTTTTTCTGAATTTCATTTATGTTTAGTTACCAAGAGCATGACATAAGTGGCATAGTTTAGTAGTTATGGATTTTTCAAGTCATACCTGTTGTTTGGCTGTCGTTATTCAACTACAGGCTTATTATTAAGCACATATTACTTTGGGCTAAGAAGCCATTCTAGAATTGCTTCTTGTGTAGAAAGAAAATTCTATTATGATCTAAAAGTGAGATGGAAAATTAGTTCTTGAATCGAAGAGATCTTGTAAAGTAGAGTTGGAGGCTTTGATTTTTGACTTGTTTAAATGCAAATACTAAAGCAGAGTAATATATAAAAAAGATTTGTGTAAATCAAGAACGCCCTAAGAATCTCTCTTTGAGAAGTAACAAATTGATAAAGTGATATTCATAACAAGAAGCTGTAATCTTATTTTTTATATATGAAGTCGTCGTTTCATGCCAACAGGGTATAGAGTATTTGTGTTGGTAAGAAAAATTTTATTGTTCTCTGGTTGGTTCAGTGAAGTCATTCTTTTGTTAAATGGAGGATGTAGCCTTTATCTGTAATAAACTTGCTGCTTGTTCATCTGTAATTTCTGGCAACAATACATGTGACAATTTTGATATATAGATTGCATTTCATTTGAGGATCTAGCATCCTCTCTTGACACTATTAAGCAAAAAATAAGTATATGTTATTCCCACTCTGATAGAGTTGCATATCCATCGAAATTGCATAAGACACAGGTTATGAAATGACAACATCCTTACTAGTAGACCAGGGAAGTGCCATAAATACTTGACTAGTTTTCTAAAATTGCAAGTTTGTTGTTGTTTTTGTTTTTAATTCAGAGATTTTTACTTCACCATAGAGAAACGTTATTAAAATAAGGACCTGAAGTACTTCTATAGAATTTTATCAAACCACTAATAAACTTAGATCATCAACAAATTATAAATGGAAAATATATATTCATATCTTTATATTTGATAACTTCATCTCCTGATTTGAATAACATTATAAGTCATAGATGTATGTTAAATAATTCGGCTTGCATCAGACCTATATAAATTTTCATGCCATATTTTGATACGTGACATACACTACGTATAATTTGATTTTAGTGTTAGTCTTGTTATTCAGTTCTTTTCATAATTATGCTGTTTGTAGGTCAGCTGTTGATGATGCAGATAGATCACCTGGCTCTGCTGGCAGTGGTTCTGCATCTCGTTCACGCACAAGTAAATGGCGCGAGTCTCAAGAGGAAAGGCGGCGTAATCAAGTGCAAACAAAGTTGCAAGTCTTACTGTTCCGGCATAAGGAATTACTCAAGAAAGATATGATTAAGAAAAGAGCTCTTCTGGAGAAAGAATTGCAAATTGAAATACAGGTGAGCCCCTCTTAATTTGTGTGGAACATTAAAAAACAAAAAAGAACTTGAAAAATGCAGCCACATGTTGCTGTTGGTGTTAGCAGAGTTTGCTTACATTTATCATATATGTCTAGTATTTTAAAATCCAGCATAGCAAAATTTATCAATTTCATATGAAAGATAGTATTTTTCGTTTGGTTTCTTTGTTGGAATGTGATTGATTTTTTAAAGGAAAATTACATAATACATCAAGAACATGTCTACTCCAATGACATATAACTGTATGAAGGCTGAGTGTCAAAGTGTATAAAATATCTCCTGGAGGACTGTGGTAAAGATATGATTTCTCATGTTGCCACAATTAACTAGTGGTGCTACCGAATGGCACAGACTTTCCCATATTCATTTTCTATTTCCTCTGGTCTTGGTTAGCTACGTGAACTTGCAACATACTCATGCCGGCTGCCATCTATTGATGCCAAAAGTACATATTTTTTTAAAATTGTCTTAATTTTTCGGTATCTTGTAGAAGAATGGAAAACTGATTGTATGAAAATTAAAAAACAAAAACCTCATAGATTGCAATTTCCTTGGAAAATTTGGAGCCACTTTTTAAGAAAATGGCATTGATGTGCTTCTGTAAAATTCAAATTGGAAGCCATTTTTCACAGGAAATTCTCTCTTCCTCCCTCTTCCATTCTCGCTCGCTCTTCCTCCCTCTTCCATTCTCGCTCGCTCTCCCTCCCTCTCCCATTCTCGCTCGCTCTCCCTCCCTCTCCCATTCTCGCTCGCTCTCCCTCCCTCTCTCTATCCCTCGCTCGCTCTCCCTCCCTCCCTCTCCCTTGTTTTGCTTCTGTACATAGAAGTAACTTCACTATGCGCACATTTTGTTGAACTCTCCTTTTTATTGTAATGGTAGGAGAAGAGGTAAGGGACAATAATTATATGTTAGCAATGCAGAAAATAAATTGCAGTTCGTTTACTGATGCCAGTAAGTTTTCTATAACTTAGGGACGAAAATGTCTAGGTTTTCAAATGTTGCTGATCTCCTGCTCTTTTTAAATTTTATTTTTATTTATTTATTGATCTTTAACTTACACTCATCTTTCTACTATTTACAGTTAAAATGATGGAAAGGGATTCTGCAACTCAAGAAAATATACGCAGATTATCTTCTCCCCCATACGTCACATAAAGTTTTTACTGTTTTTTGACTAAATAAATCTAATCTACTTTTTTCTTTCACGCATACCATTATTAAAAGTAATAACACCATCTTTATGCTAATTTCTAAAATTCTTTTTTCAAAACAGCCAGTCGTTGATCACACTTTCCAAATTTTGGATTGGAATTTGCATTTGAATATACATTTTGTGTCATATCACCAATTTCTTTTTAGGAGTTTTGGGTCTCAAAATCTTGGAAAACTAGTTATATATCTTCCATGTCTGCCACTGATATGTTGTTTGTTTGTCTGTGTTTGTCAACAGTGTTTCCTAGCACTGCTTTTTTATTATGTGCCCTGGGTATCTGGTTCTTTTAGGGCAAATAGAATGTATTTGTATCTCTCAACTTTTGTAAAATAACACTGCCCACACAGTTTGTTTCATGTCTTCAGAAAAGGAGCTATTTGCTCTTATTGCATTTCCATAACATAAGTAAGGGTATTAATGACACTTTCTATCAAGTGTAATAATAACGAAAGAAATAAAAAAGAATAACAAAGGAATATCATAGAGTATGAGAAGTTCCTAGTTCAAATATACAACACATAACTGGTATGAGAAATTTACAACTCAAAAGAAGAATTGAAGATTGAAAGGAGAATACAATGACAGAATGAAGGGGGTGGTGGCGGTCTTACTTGAGGTAGATGTCACGCAATGTCAAATACTTTCCTTCATAACTCCATAACCAATCGACATATCATTATGAAACACCAGGAAAATGAAAATTTAAAAAAAACACAGATTTCATCGGTTTTATTTTGTAGAATAATTTTATGACCTCGATAAATGTATATACACCCGTAAATTATATATTCTTAAAAAACGGCTCGAAACTTTTCAACAAACATTTTCTTGTGGGATGAGCTTTTACTCTTCTGGATTATTTTTAAAATAATATTTTAGTTCTTCCATTAGGATATAGAAGATTTGAAATTGAAAAAAAAAATGAACTTCAGGCAGCGATAGATGGCAGCTGGCAAGAGTGTGTGGGGAGTCAGAAAAGCTAGCTCAGACCAAAGAAATTAGATAACTAGTACAAAAAAGTCTATGTCATTTTGTAGCACCTCTAGTTTTCTCATCTATTTCTTACATAATAAAGAAAGTATGGTAATGCTACAGCAAAAATATGCAATTTTTTGACAGCAAAAACTCGTGTTGTGGAGCCTGGTAATGAAAAAGATGATACTTTTACATCTAGTAAATAACTTTAACACGTGTAATCAGAATCCACGATTTGTGGGTTTTAATACAAAAAAACTGTTTGACGGCAAAACATGTCTCTTGGTCCATCCCTCCATCCATCCTTGGTCAACGCTAACACCTAATCCATTCAGATAATTTTCTTCAAAATAGGTATTTTCAATGAACCATCTCAATGAACTTTAGGCCATGAGATTTTCAAATGGATATGATTTTCAAGAGTACTTTACATGAAGCCTCAACAATCATGTTTTGTCCATGTCTTTCACAAGGTTTTTGACAAGACCCAATTTAATGTCAATGGGGACAGGTGCACTTTTTGGGTGTCAATAAGAGGAGTGTTTTCATCTTCACATTTGTGTCTGGACAGTAGTTCAATTCAAGCAAGCCACACAATTTTTTCCACAATTGTGATTTTTTTCTGTTTCTGCTGTCCCACTCACATAGAAAGCAGCAGTGCTTTGTATGCATGCTTGATATGATTCTTGTAATTACTTTGTGATCTCCACATATATTCCATTTGTATTTATCATATTTGATAAGTGTAATGAGCAGTTTAAAGTTCTCATTTCTCTTCTTCAGTTTAACTATATGAACAATCTGAACAGAAGGAAATTTGTTCCCATTGTTAAAAAGTAGTGCTTTCAAACTCCTTTTGCTAGAATCTATTATCAGTGCCATTCATTTACTTTGAAATTGAGTCCAAGAGACACCATAACAGATTTGATACCATTACAAAAAGTTGTCACTTTTCTATGAGAAATTGTTGAAAAAAAACTATTTGGTGGTCATGAAAAACACTAATTTTCATACAGAGGGAAAGATGATTCTATCCTTTTAGCTGCAAAGCTAAAAGCGTAGACTTGCTTCGACAAGTTTAAATCACAAACAAGATCATTGAGACCCCCTTGAGGCAAAAATGTGGTTCATTTCAGTCACAGGAGGCTTGTAATGTTGAGTCAGCACGCATATTTCCTTCTCTGACTTCTGAATGTTCATCACTGTTGCATTTATCTTCTCTGTCACATTCTCAGGAGGTAGTGATGCCGGCAATTCTTCACTGTGATATAGCAGGTGGTAAATTAGGATATTGGTCAGTTTTCTTTGTTTTGGGGGTGATTCCAGCTATTTTTGTCTCTTAGAAATGTCTATTGCATAATCGATTGGTTCCTCCAAATCATTGGAACGGCAAAGAAATTTTTAGAATTATTAAATTTTAACCAAAATGTGAGGAGTGTAACATATGACTCACGTCGTGTGTGTGTGTGGGGGGGGGAGCCCATTTTTTGTCGTGGTCACCTACCGTACACCCAAAATAAAGTTCACAACACTTCCTTATCAGAGGTTTGAAGACCTGTTTTTGCTTAGTCAGTTAATTCTCCTCAGATGTAACGTCCAAATTGTACCTATTTACACAGTTATGAAGCATTTCTTTTGCATTAATACAAATCACAAGCTTTCACAAACTCAGGACAACAAACATTCACATCCAAGTCACTTTCCACACTGTCAGATCTCTCAAAGCTGAGACGCAACTAGCAAGAAACACAAGGCGATTCTATGTGCTCCAGCATGACTTTTCAGTAATGTTGTCAAACCTTCATTCACTACAGGTGAATTTTCTGAATTCAGTGTTATGTATAGGAATTCCTTGTACACATTTCAATTGTTCCTGAACAATGTCTGCAGAATTCAATGAAGCTACTGCAAAAAATCAATATTGGGTGCGGATCTGCGGGGAGGGAAATGAAGAAAATTTCCCCTCTCAAAATTTTTCAGTATCTATTAATTTTAACGTGTCACAAAACTTTTAATGTAAAAATATTTTTGAATAGACATTTCAATGAATAAAATTGTCTTGCAACATGAACTGAATTTTGCCTGCATCATTCTACATAATCTGTAATATGACATATTCGATCGAAACATTTTGAATAAAAAAATGTCCCATTCCAAAATTAGTCTCTGGATCCGCCCCTGCCAATATACATCATTTTCTAGCATCTCCTTAGATAGGGAGTAGCATGTCACTAGTAAACTGAGCCTGTTAGGTAAAAACTTATTTCATATTTGAATTCAGTGTCCAAGTCGTACCTAAGAACCCATTCATATTCTTTGTTACAAAAATGCTGTTAAAGAGTGTTATTGTATAGTTTTTATTTGCAAAACCTGTTTTCACAAACACTGCAAGTAAAATAGACTTTATAATTAAATATAACTGACTCATTATGATTAATATTTTTACAGAAGGATCTATCAACTGAATTAGCTGCACGAACCAAAGCAGAGCGTAATAAACAAGATGAGGTCCGGACAGGAAGCAGTAGACGAAAATCAGTACCTGTTCCTGTGGCTAGTAGTGTAATGAGTCCACCTGCAACAGGTAAAACCACTGGTGGCGGCTCAAGACCAAAGAAGCAACAACGTAACAATCCAACGTCCCAGCCATCAGTTACGCCACAACCTTCTGCTGGTGGAGGTGGGAGAGGGAAGAAAGAGAAACTTTACTGCCTCTGTCGAACACCTTATGATGAAACAAAGTATGAAATTTATTTGATTTATATTGTATCAGTGACTCTATTAATGAAATGCACATATTAATGTTAAATATCTTATTTCAGATTCTATGTGGGATGTGACCTGTGTAACAATTGGTTTCATGGTGAATGTGTGGGTATAACAGAGGAGATGAGTAAAACATTAACAGAGTTTGTGTGTACGGAATGTAGGCATGCTCGTGATACTCAAGAATTGTATTGTTTATGTAAACAGCCATATGATGAGTCTCAGTAAGTACTTAATCATGTGGAAACGATGAGTCCATGAACAGTGTTTATTTGGATAATGTTCTTGTTTTTTCTTCTTCAGATTTTACATTTGCTGCGACAGATGTCAGGATTGGTTCCATGGTCGGTGTGTTGGTATTCTTCAGTCAGAAGCAGATAATATTGATGAATACATATGTCCCAATTGCCAAAGAAATTCCAACATAAACTTTGCAAACATGAAAAACTTAAACAATAAAGATTTTGATGGACTCCGTAAATTAATAAAACAACTTCAGGTAATATAATATAACTTAATATTTAAAATCAATTTTTGTCATGCAATGATTACTTAAATTATCTGCATTCAAAATTATTGCATTAAACTTTCAGCATTCACATTTTCATTGTATCAATGTTGAAGTCTGCAGTTACAGTTCACCTATCAGTTGGATCATAACACACATTAGCATTATATGTAATTACGTTTTATATTTTATTTAGGTACAGATTCCAGGTGAATCTGCTTGATATATATATATATATATATATATTAATATATATATATATATATATATATATATATATATATTATATATATAATATATATATATATATAAATATTATATTTATATATATATATATTATATATATATATATAATCTTTCTCTCTTCTCTTCTCCTCTTTCCTCTCTTTCTCTCTTGTCTCTCTCTCTCTCTCTCTCTCTCTTTCTCTCTCCTCTCTCTTTCTCTCTCTTTCTTCTTTCTCTCTCTTCTCTCTCTCTCTTTTCTCTCTCTCTCTCTCTCTCCTCCTCTTTAACCACCAATCTCTTGTTATTAGTTACTGCAGTAACAAATCAATACACCCTCTGTGTCCATGCCAGCACCTAAATAAGTAAAGCACTGCACCAAATGAATACTTGTTGGTCCTTTGTATTGGTCTCTGAAAACACGGTTACAAAATTTTAAGAATTTTGATATCAGATACAAGATACAAAATCTGTATATATGGATTTAATCCCTTAAAAAAATGTAGACAACCTTTCACTATCCCACCCTATAGTATAGTGTAAACGTGGAGAGAAATAAAGGTTCACACCCAAAATAACAAATGGAGAACTAGGAATGGTTCTTACAAAAGCAAACAGGAAAGCCTCAGAAGTAAATGAAATTGCAGTGGAACTATTAAAGTATGGGAAGATAATGCTGACCCAAAAGAATGACAGGCAGATGTAGTAATAAATGGAGTCCAAAACAAACTGACACAATTACAAAGGGATTACATTCCTACCAACAGTTCCAGAATTGTGGTCTAATGTGGCCAGGAACATTTTAAATGAACATTGAAAAATGTATTGAAGAAGACCGACATGGCTTCCAAAAAGTCAGAAGTACAAAGTTATTTTTACAATGCAGGTCATCTTCAACAAATACAAATACTGAGGTGTTTTTTACTTTTCCATTCATCATCATAATAATAGTAATAATTAATTTACTTAATGGGGAAAATAAAAATATCAATTTGAAATTTGTTTAGGGCCAATGAGTCTATGGCATACACAATATATTTGAAAAAGATGACTTACTGAAAATATTTAGTTAAACTGCTTTCAAATTCAAAATAGGAACAAACATTGATTCTTCATAATAATAATAATAATAATGATGATGATGATGATGATGATGAAAACCTTGCCCAATATTGTTTTTACAATTCACAATATCCACTTTCCCAAATATTCTGGTCCATTTAATTTTTCACAATACAGTCCTCAATCAAATACACTGCCAATATGACCTAAAATTTCGTGCATCAAATTCTCCACTGCCACTCTAAAGTGTTCTATTAAACTTTATCACTCAAGAACACATATTTTCTTTCTGGTTGTCGACTTATATCCGTCTTCTACAGTTGGCAATCTCCACAACATCGAAATATTGACAACTGTGACTTTATTCCAGTAGGCCGCATCTATACATATTATATTGATTCCAATATAGACAAAATATAACACCTAATTATTTACAATACAACAAATCAAACCTACCAACCTTCCTCTTTTCATAAACTTTGAGAAAGCAGATGACAGGGTAAATAGAGATAAAATGTGGGAAATACAGAAGGAAGTAGAAGTACCCACTGAACAATAAATGGAAAGCAGAACTAGTTCAGAATAAGAATGATAAAAGGGAGTATCACAGATAAGTACAAAACAACCTGAGGTTTGACTTCAGAATGTAATTTGTCACCTCAACTATGTATAATGAATCAATGAATAGCAATTGTGGAAAAAGGACAAATAGATAAATAAAAGACAAATGGTCATAACAATCTTGTATGCAGGTGACACAAAATTAACAATAGAAACAGAAGATGTAAAAGAACTTAAAATAGAACTGGCTTATGACCTCTACAAGCAAGACTAAGAAATCGCATTACAAAATGCATGTATAAGAAGAGTCAAAGATGTTGTAGATGGCAAGATTATTAAGGAAGTATCAAGATTTAATTAAGTAGAAAACTTTATAGGACAAAACTCAGACCATGAAAACAAAATTCAAACATACACTGGAAACAATGAAATAATTAAGAAGCATTTAGAGAGAGTGAAAACCCTGGAAACTAAATTGAAAATTCACAATATAAAAGGAAAAGCAATTGTGATGTCGTGGGTTGGCCAAATCACAGACAAGATGGCTGTGGTACATACACAATTTATTTACAAATGTATACATAAGTGTGGTACTATTTACTTCAGGAGCATTTGCTCCCCATTAGCATCCGCTGGCTACCAAATCCACTGTCAACATGACATAGCATTCATAACTGCAAGCTTGCAGCCTCCCACGCACACTAGTGTGCTTGCAACAAAAGTTGAAGAAACAGTGCTGACCCTTTTGAGGGCTTACCCACCACTATAGCCATGCTGTAATCACGCCACCATCCCTGGGTGTGATTCCCCAGACTTATGACACATCTGGTGCAAAGATAGCATGTACCTTCTGAAACCACCCCTTGGGCTTAGGCTCATACACATCCTGCCCATTGTCATGCATTCCACATGTATCCCAGTGTGCAAGGCACACGCTGTGCATCATGCTGCAGTGAGCTGTGTAGCAGACGCTACACAATGCTGTTGTATAGTTCAGAAATGTGATCTCAAAATCACAAAGATATCCCGCAGGCTTGCAGCAGCAGAAGCATTTCTCTGAATTTGTTTCTGCATTTGGCAGATGATAAATCCCAAAAGCTCCTTACTTCCTGTTGTATATGGAAATAAATAAATCAAAAAATTATTAAAAATTTAAAAGGAAAGTGTTAGGAGAACTTACAATTTTTTTGTAATAAAGTCGTTCATAATTCACCTGAAGAATCAAAATATCCTATAATGACATGAACTTATTCATTAATAACTCTGATGAGAGAATGGTAGTGCAATATCCCAAACTAGGAAATTCAACATTAAGAAGAGTTCAGAGGCAATCTATTGGTTTTGCGTGACATCCATTGATGAATTCTTATATAGTTTGTGTAGAACTAACAAGCTATGAAGATTACATAGTTATTTATTGTAATGTAACTTGTTAGTTTATTCATTTCAAATAAGTTGGTTATCAAATAAGGATTATACCTAATAAGGTTATCATTAAAAATAAGTTGTGAATTTCAGTACAATTTGTAAGCTCTTTGTAAAGTGCATCTATTAAATAAATTATAAGGAATGAAATTTTGTTTCATGCAGATTTCTGGCACATAAGCTGTTTTTCAACATTACTAGGCTTTTGTTTCCCATAATATATTTGAAAGTAGTTAACAGCTTCACAAGTACACTGTCACACAAACCTTAATAAATCAAGCTCTAATATCAAATAGAAAAAATGTTTTGAGTATCATTTGTGATATGTAAAAATAAAGAAAGACAAAAGGGTTTTGGTCATTAAAGAAATGGTTTTTGGTACAAATTACACTAAGTATGAAGATTATAATGTGCATACTAATACAAAGGAAATAGTTGATAAATCTGCTATTGTCAGATGGCTAATTGCCTACTAAAAAGAAGTGTTAATGAAATCAAAGCAACCCACCATTGGTAATAGTGTCAAATCTTTAGTGTCTTGGAAAATGCCGTAACCAGCAAATACATGTCGCTGAAAAGGGTGATTGATTTCTACGCAGAATAAAAGCAGGTTTGGGTGGCCTCTGTGTTACCTGTAAGGAATGTTTATTTCATGCTTTTGGTCACCAATAATTTTTTAGTACTTATCCTAATTTTATTCATGATTGGAATGGATTATATTTATCAAGTTCTCATTAATATTTCACTTTGATTTTCATCTTCCTCGTGTTCTTGTTCCCTGGAATTCTCTTTGTTACATGCTTAGGAATTCACAAGTTGTCTTAAACCAGCTAGTCAGCACATTTTTCTGAAAATGATATAATTTTTTTCAAATATTATTGTACTGTATTTTTAGATTCCTTTTAAAAAAAACTGTATTGTATTTTTCTATCCCAATTAACATTGATGACACCTTAAACATCTGTGTTAGATGCAAATTTGGTGTAGTGAAATACTTAACAAAGTATTCATATGTTCATATTTCATTTTGTTTGTTTTCAGACTCACAAAAGTGCATGGCCATTTATGGAACCTGTAGATCCCAATGAGGCTCCTGATTACTACAAAGTCATTAAGGAACCAATGGGTAATAAATCATGTTTATTATTAGTAAATGTTGAAATCAATATTATAGAGTTAACATTAATTTTGAATTCTAACATTGTCATTTTTTCAGATCTACAAACAATTGAACTTCGTATTAATGAAAAATCATACAAAAAGTTAAGCGAGTTCATTGGAGACATGACTAAAATCTTTGATAACTGTCGATACTACAATCCCAGAGAGTCTCCCTTCTTCAAGTGTGCAGAATCACTTGAAGCATATTTTGTGCAGAAAATTAAGTGCTTACGGGACAAACTTGTTGAAAACAAGTAGAGTGTATATGTGCAGCTCAGTGGAAACTCAATTGCCATGCAGACATGTGAGCCCATGTTTACTAATTATGGCATCCCATTGAAAGCTCATAAACAAATTGAGCCATGATGGCAAAATGTTTCCTCGCGTATCCATTATGGATAATACAAAGGAAGATTTTTTATTGTGTGCAGTTTTGCTGGCTAGAAGTTCAATTTTACACTATGTACAATGTTTTTTGTTCATTAGTGCCAGTGCAATGACTGAGTTTGAATTTATATATTGTAGGTTGCAAAACGATTGAAAATTTGTATATTTGAAGATAAGAGTTGGTGTAGTGACTTTATAGTGGCATGTTGTATATAAAGAAGATTAGTCAAACAAGAATATTCCAGTTGAATGGAACCGTGAAGAACACTATTCAGTGTGAGTGCTCTGTATTTTAATAACTTGTCTACTACCCACCTTAATTGACATAAGCCAGACAATGAAAACTGCGGCATACACTCTTCATTCCACTGTCAGGTGTAAATGTTGCCCACTGATGTTTGTAGTTTACTCTAGTGCTATTATAGAAGTGTGTGTATAATTTCATGAACAGTATACCCTAAGATCTGCAAATGTAATAATAAGTGGGTATGTTTTTTATTATCATAATTAATTCAGCCAAGACAACATGCATGTGAATTTTGAAATATTGAATTAATATTGCCCATTACAATGTTCTGGAACCACAACTGTTGCCAGTAGATATCTGGTTGTTGTTTGTATATCAGAGATAAGATGCTCCCAGTTGTGTGTCATTTGTTTCTAATGAATGTCTTGCCTCACATAAGAGTGAAGTCAAGAAGTGTAACTTCTAAAATTTGACTTTGTGCCAATTGTGAGCAGACTGTCTGGGCAGGGACCAGAAAATTCAAGTAGAATATATTTGTTGCCTGCCCAAGGCCCAGCAATCTTATCTGGTGTAGATGCACTTGCCCTTTCAAATGCTGTTTGTTAGTGGTTAAATATTTTCAGTGATTTTTTTTTCTTTTTTTTTGTTACCGCTTGACTATTTTAGATCATTGGCTTTGTACATAGCAATGAATGTGTTAAAAAGTATAATACATAAATCTGGAAACAAACTCTGTATTTGATTGCATTTGTGTTACTGTTTCCCTGCCATTTTTAAAATGAATTTAATATTGTAAATGTTAAACTGTCATTGTCTGTAAACTGCCAGAATATTATATTGATTCCTTTTTATTTTGTAGAGTTTTAATTATAAACAGAAATGAGATCCCGTGAAAATGCAGTCAAAAATAAATAGTTTTATATAAGTACAAACTGTTTAATCATGATCACCTCATTACCCCCGTTTATTTCAGGGCCATTGGCAATTACCTGAAATTATGAGTAAGTAGCCCTATTTTATTTTAGTTTAAATTTTGACATTTGTTACGTAGGCCTTGTCACGGAACATTTTGGAACGCGAGGCATTTATTTAGGAGTTCGCGCTCAAGGTCAATTATATCAGGCCTTTACAGCGTTCAATTAATTTGATTGCGGGCTTTGCTATATACTAGCAGGACACTGATAGCGGTGACCTCTACACGAGGCAAGGCCGTTTATACAGCCTTCATTCGAACCGGCAACCACGCGCAGGCGGTAGCTGAGCTGAAGTCTAGCCGGGCCGTGCCGAGGGTTCTGTACAGAAGATTCCTGTTGTGTAACAAATAAAGTTTTCGTATCTGGAAATATGGCTAATATTTCTAATACATTGCGAACGCCACTTGCAAGAATGAAGTTTTCGGCGCGGAAACTGGTTATTTCTGGTAAGTGTGAGAGGTTACTTGTGTCACTGAGTTTAAAGGATGTATTAATTGTAGAACCCGTTCGTATGTTTATTATAAATTATATTGAATCTTGATGGAACTTTTTGTAAAGAAATTGACAAAACTAAAAATCAATTACTGCAGAATAAAAAAAATGTATGCTGGAAGTGAGTGCAATACAATGTAATTGAATAGAAAGTAACACTGTTCGTTTGCGTAAAAATGTGTAGGTATGCAACATTTGAGATTGATATCGTCCCTAGTGCAAGGTGAACCCAAAGGACCAGAAATAAAATGCGACATTCCCGGGCCGAAGTCGAAGCAGCTGATGACCGAACTGTCAGTCATCCAGGTAGGATGAAAACAGAAAACATTGTGCTGATGTAGCTTATACGTCACGCGTATGGGATATCTTTATGTAGATTCAAAAAGAGACGGATTTATTTACCCACTTCTTGATACCTTCGTGTATTTCTACATATTAGCATTATTCATTTCCACACATTTTATGTGAGAAAATAATTTTGTACCATTTCTTTGTTTCGAAGGGGTTAAATACAAAAATGTGCTGATATAAAGTTTTTATTCGAGATAATAATAAAATGCATTTCTTTGGTATGTGAAAACAATGAAAATAACAGTTAAAGTAGTAAGAAAAAACTAATATTTGTTTACAGAAACAAGGACAATTTTGTAATGTCATAAACGTGTATATTTTTTTAAATATTGTCTAATCATTTTATGGAATATATGCCAATTAAAAATATTTATTTTTCAGAACACTGGATCTGTGCAGCTTTTTGCAGATTATGACAAATCTCTTGGAAATTACTTGGTTGATGTAGATGGTAATGTGTTACTTGATGTATACACACAAATATCCTCTATGCCATTAGGCTACAATCATCCCCATCTTTTGAGCCTATTGAAGGACAGTCACAATGTAGTAAGTATGAACATAATGTTAGTTAGTACTATTTTTGCTATGGTCTAGGGATTAGACAATATGTTTCACTTATGTATTCATTTTACTGTATTTTAGAAAACTTTTGTAAATCGACCAGCTCTAGGCGTTTTCCCTGGAGCAGACTGGACAACAAAGATGAACGATGTTCTTATGAATGTAAGTGTAAATGTTTACTTTGAACTGAATGTTGTAAATATTGAATGCTAGTTTCAGACAGTGTTGAGTAAGGCAGACAGATCATTGAAGTACTTTTTATGAATGTGAGAGATGAACTGATGATATTGAGACTGATTGATTGCTCCTTTTTAATTCTCTGTAAATTTAATGAAGGTCATTTTGTTGTTATTGGAAATAATATTTACAATTATTGATTTTGACTCGTATGTAGCATTTTATTGTGAACATCTTTTCATAGGTAGCACCTCAAGGACTATCAGCTTTGCAGACAATGATGTGTGGTTCATGTTCTAATGAAAATGCATATAAAACAATATTCATCTGGTACAGGAGAGTTCAACGTGGAGAGAATGTAGATTTCACTCGAGTAGAACAGGAATCCTGCATGGTGAATCAACCTCCTGGTGCTCCAGACCTTTCTCTAATGTCCTTCCATGGTAAATTTTCAAGCTTTAATTTTAATTAAAATTATTAATATTTGTATTGTTTTTATTTCACTTTCAATTCTCGTTTTGTAGGAGCATTTCATGGGCGTACACTTGGAGCTTTGGCTACTACTCACTCAAAATACATTCACAAAATTGATGTACCTTCATTTGATTGGCCAATCGCTCCTTTTCCTAAGTACAAATATCCTTTGGAAAACCATGTGCAAGAAAATCAGGCAGAGGACAAGAAGTGTTTGGAACAAGTAAGAAAAGTGTAATAATTCTTACTAAGATTACATGAAAGATTTTGGAGAAATAACCAAAGTACAGATTTTTTTCACTTAATACGAATTGATAATCCGTATAAAACAACCCAAGGGGATTTAAAAATAAAAGAAAATTAATAAAAAAAATGTGTTGCGAGTTTTTGCAAATTTTGTGATGACAAATAAAATTGCTATTTAGCAGTAACTTCAAAATGATGCCAACAAAAACACATTTCTGATAAAGAAAACTTGTCTAAATTCTTTTCAATTTGAGTGTTTATCAACTTGTATTTT